TTAGGAGTTTAGGGTTCTAGGGCTTAGGGCCTCGTGCGACCAAATCCGCAGAACCCCAGTTCAGGCACCCGAATCGTGCAGCTATACGAGAGTGCAAGTATATGAAAACCTGCTTTCGCATTCAACACCATGCCTAAGCAGCCCTGGTTGTAATACACTTGCCAATACCCTTGATTGTCCGGCAGGCTCAACTCTGCATGAGATAAATTGACACTCAATGTGCCGTCGTCCTCACTGGACAATAAACAGCAGCTAGCAGCAAGAACAGCACTAAAGGCAACACGTGCAGGCGGAGCGGTCATGTAGGCATGGCAGCAAGATAAAATAGAATAATCATCAATAATCATCTGCGACAACAATCTGAATAAGATGCAGGAAAGTTACCATACTCACGGAAGTCGGCATCGTCACGACGTTCATAATCATCGGAGGATGTGAGCTCATATTGTACTTATCAGGCCTTGCAATAACTTACAACATGGAGTTCATCAAACTCTAGGTGTCTCTGTAACGTGGACGACTTCCCTTCTCTGCACTCTTTGCCCAAGGCTGTCCGAGTCACCACAGCAAGGAAGACGGAAGCCCTGTGCCTGCTGGAGCAAGGAGGCTGCGAAAACCAGCTCGGCCACCTGCGGGTGCCGACTTCGGATCTTCAGACTCTCAGCCCTCAGCGCGGAGATTTTGGATCCTGCCTCCCCGGGGTTAAAGACGAAGACCTCTGCTGCAACGCAAAGGAAAGCAGGCAGGAACAAAGGACGGGCAATGGGACCCTGGAGCAAGAAGCAATAACCAAACGCTGTTCTCAAACTGGGTCACAGATGTCCTACTGTTGTATATCATTTCCAGCTTTAGAGCTTCACAGCTCCGCAAAATCAGGTTGCCGCAATAATCCTGTCCGAATGCCTCCCATAGGCTCGACTCGACCCATAAGCCACCGAAAATGCGCACAAAACCGCGTCCCTCCGCCTTGGATGCATGCAAGAGGCGATGTTGTAAAGAGGCAGCCTTATGGGCGACAGACCTGTCACGTGGCGGACGGGAGTCCGGGCCAAGGAGCCATCACCCCAAAACCTTTCAAAAGCTCAGGACGGGCTTAGGGTTTAGGGTTTAGGGCTTAGGGTTTAGGGTTTAGGATTTAGGGCTTAGGGTTTAGGGTTTAGGACTTAGGGTTTAGGGTTTAGAGCCGGGCCATGGGAGCTGCAAAGGTTGGAGGTGTCCGGGCGCCGAGCCCCCAAAGCCGAAGAAGAGGCTCCGCAGGGAGCTGCTCCAGCGCTGCGTCTCGCGATCCTCTCTTGCGGCCACTTCGGGGCTTGGGTTCCTTTTCTTCTCTTTCATCTATTCTACTACTTAAGTTATTATTATTGTTATTAGTATTATTATTGTTATTTTATTTTGGTTATTTCTATTAAATAATCGAGGGTCACGTTCTGGATTCCGGCCTCTCAACTTGTGGAGGCTACAGATTTCTCAATCTTGCAAGGGGTAGGCCCGGTGGGCTGAGGGTGCCCTCAGCAGCGGCCAAGCCCTATAGACTTGCTGCGTGACATGTACCATCCGATGTGTAGTGCATCAAGATCTTGCGAAGAGCCCCAAATCCGGGCCTTCATCACGGAGTACAGTGAGGGAGGAAGAGCCTTCGAGCGCCAGTCCTGCAGCTTTGCCAACGGCACTCTCGGGTATGCCGGCATGCATGTACATATGGCCTAACTTCCTGTCAGAATGTCTGCTTCTGCCTTTTTCTGGACATGAGGGAGTACAGGAATTACTCCGAGCCCCAGCCGGCAGGCTCACACCCCACGGCCTCCGTGGGTGAAACTCTGCTGACCCCACGGACAGAACCTCGCGCCTTCCCGCCGCTTACACGGGGCCGGTTGGGCCGGTTTTCGGATTCCCGTGCGCTGGAGGACAGACTGCAGAATACGGCACTGGCGTGGTTGCTCGCCTGCTTCTCGGAAGGGTTGAAAGGAGGGATGGTTGCATGTTCGCTTTGTGTTGCTACATGTCTGCCGCATAAAGCATGGAGCGTAGGGAATGCACCCGATGTCCGACCATCTGAGGCCACGTTCACCAGGTTGATTTTCGTTGTCCTTCTATGTCCCTGCGCTTTCCGCTGTCAAGGAATGCCACAACCTTTGACGTCCTCCAGCACGAATGAACAGCTGCAAAGGCTTTCAAGCTGACGTGCAGATGTGGGGGTCTGTTTCGATCCAAGCATTTTTGTGTTCATGGTAGCTAGCTAGCGATCGAGGTGCATACGTGCATAAGTACATGCACAACTGCACAAGTACGTCCCCTGATGTGCCAGCTCGGTGGGCTAGGAACATGTCCATGTTCATTCATCACACTCGGTCAGGACCACTTTCTCGCACATATGGAGCCACTATGAGCCACTCACTCACACCGCCACGCACCATCACAACAAAGCGCAGTCCACACGGCCAGCTGCTTTGCCACTGCCTTTCACTTCCTCACAAGGCTGCACATGTGCTATGCACCACTTGAAGTGATTGAAGTATAAGTTGTAGGAGAAGCTGTTGTGGTCCCAGCCTTCAGGATTTCGCATGCCACTTTCTCGGGGACACCAAGGCCTCAGCACGCGCAAAGCTGTACTGTATCCACATTTCACCATGGCTTTGTGATGTAGAACAGACTGGTACACGCAACATTAATTGACTGCTAGGTGACAGTGTCGGAACACGCAAGAGACTTGGGCCCCCGGCGAACAAGCCTCTCCACGCCCACGAAGAAAGGATGTAGAGTTTCCATCTGCAGGCAGCTCACAGGATGCACTTGGCAGGCTGCATGCTATGCAACCTCGAAGGCCACTCAAGGATGGAGCGCGAGGACTCCTCAGCAGCTTCCGGGCGCCGGGCCAGCGGGAACAGAGAGAGGTCCGAGTGGTCAGGTCGAACGAGGCGCCCGTTCATGCTGAAAACCTGGAAAGCATCGAAGATCTAGAAAGGTCTCGATCTTGATGGCCAGGATTTATGCAGGGTGTGGGGGTTGGCCTTGTGTTTAGACAGTTGTGCGGCTTCGTTCGCGGGATGGCACACTGTCGGTTACGTCATCGCAATCTCGGCTAAAGATCTAATTGTCTACAGCACGACGAAAGCACTGGAGCTATTAGACAACACTGACCTCCATAACCGTTTCATCATCGTGTTCCTGGCATTTAAAAGTCAGACAGCAAGGACAACGCCGGGCAAATAGAGCCCCTCCAGCTTCCATGCAGAGTCCGGTGAAATTTCAGCTCTAGGGTCAACCTCGGAACGTACACCGCTGAATGAATAGTTACAGAAAAATTCGAGCTGGCTGCTGAGCTTCTGCACCTCTGCACCGTCCCGCATCATCTCTCTCAGCTCTCGCCCCTGGGCACCTCAAGAAAGAATAGGGAGTATCTCACCAGATAGCAGTCATGTAAACAGCATGGTAAAGCATCATTGCGGTGGAACAGACGCTGGCAAAAAACAAGGGTGCGATACTATGGGTGAGCAAAGCAGCACGATCTCAACGTCTGCGAGTTTTTCGGCTTACATAAGACTATATATACTCGTAATGTAACGTAACGTAATGTAGCGTAATGTAATGCAATGTAATGAAATGAAATGTGAGGAACTGTAGAGACATGTAAAGAAATGAAAAGAAATGTCAGGAACTGTAATGAGTTGTAATGAACGGCAACCACATGTATTGAAATGTGATAAATGTAATGAACTGTCACACAATGTACTGAATGTGATGAGATGTAATAAACTGTAACGAACTGTAATGACATGTAACGGGATGTAATGAAATGTAGTGACAGGCAACGAAATGTAAGGAACTGTACTGAACTGTAATGAACTGTAAGGAATGAAATGAAACGTAGAGAAATGTAACGAAATGAGGTGGAATGTAGTGAAATGAGGTGACATGCAGTGAAATGTAATGTAAAATGTAATGAAATGTAATTTGACATGTAATGAAATGTAATGTGAAAAGTAATGTGAAATGTAACGTGAAGTGTAACGTGAAGTGTAATGTGAAATGTAATGTTGAATGTAATGTGAGATGTAATGTGAAATGTAATGTGAAATTTACTGTGAACTGTAATGCAATGTAGTGAAAGGTAGTGAAATGTAATGTGACATGTAATGTGACATGTAATGTGACATGCAATGTGGCATGTAATGTGACATGTAATGTGACATGTAATGTGACATGTAATGTGACATGTAATGTGAAATGTAATGTAACATGTAATGTAACATGTAAAGTGACATGCCATGTGACATGTAATGTGACATGTATTGTGAAATGTAATGTGAAATGTAATGTGAAATGTAATGTGAAATGCAATGTGAATGTAATGTGAAATGTAACGTGAAATGTAATGTGAAATGCAACGAGAAATGTAGTGAAAAGTGTAACGTGAAATGCAACGTGAAGTGTAACGTGAAGTGTAATGTGAAATGTAATGTGACATGTAATGTGCCATGTAATGAAACGTAATGAAATGTAATGTGAAATGTAACGTGAAATGTAATGTGAAATGTAATGTGACATGTAATGTGACATGTAAAGTGACATGCCATGTGACATGTAATGTGAAATGTAATGTGAAATGTAATGTGAAATGTAATGTGAAATGTAATGTGAAATGTAATGTGAAATGTAACGAACGCATATCTTGAACTCGGCAAACTCCCACTCGTGAAGACGCCGCATCGAGCGCGTAGGTCACGAAGACGAAACGCGCTGGCAAGGAATGCGCAAGACATTCCAAAAACGGCAGGAAACGGAAATGTTCGGAAAAATATCGTCATTAAGGATATGCAAGACAGTAGGCTCGCACGGCACTGCCTGCTAAGAATCATGTGACATCGCCGTAGCGATGAGCAATACTGCCCTTTTCTCACATGCACCTTCCAAGCAAGAAGACGGCTGCTGGCCGTGAGGCCACCCAAGTCTTGCCTGTCGCGCCTCAGCAGGGCGACGAGGTCTGCCGTCACTCATGCTAGGGCAAGCCCAAAAAGTATGAGCAGTGTGTCCTGCATCCATCTTGCCACGCGGACAATATCATTGCCATGAGTGGCTACAGCAAAGGCACCAGGATTGCAGTAAGCGCCAGTCAAAACCTGAAAACGATCAGCGCTGCCCGACACTTGTTTGAGTGCGAGATTGCATCCTTGAAAGTCGTAATCCATGACAGGACAGCACAAATTGTCATCACGTTGCGAACGTTGCCACTCATTCCAGAAATGTGTACGGAAGCCTTCACGCAACCGATGAAAAGCGGAGTCAGCACTGGAACTCTAGTGAAAACTACGCTTGTTCAAAATGCTATATTTCCAATGCCAAGGACTAATAAATTCCAACCCATACCGTTTCAGCATCGTATGAATGGCAGCAGTGAGAGCACGAAAGCCGAAATGCAGTCGATGACCCCTAAAACCATCTCTAAGATCAGGGCTGGCATAACGAGGCTCATGCGAAGCTCTCTTAATGGCCATTTGGACTTTACGGCAAACCGAAAGCGTGGGAGGCTTCAAGCACCATCCAAACCCAGCTTTTGCAAGTGGCCCAGCAGCAACAACCATGCGCTGCATCTGCCAAGGGATTGCCAAGAATGCGGCACGAGCAATGAGACTGAGCACGTCATCACTGCGAGTGTTTTCTGTGTCGCAATGACGACGCTGGCAAGCACCACGAAAGACAGTGCCTAACATGATAGGCTTGTCCGTGACCTTGTTTGAAGGGGCACCATGCGAGGCAAAGAACCTACGACCCGAAATACGCTTCTGGTAGAATTCGCGTTTATCATCATTTTCCTTAAACTGCAAAAGATTCCAAACCTGAAGAATTTGAAGAACCTCATGGGCACTAGGAAAAGCCCATGTACGATCATCTACAAAAGTACGCAACTCAGTATTCAGTATTGGGAAAAAAACGGCGAACAACCTCCCATAGGCAAGGAGTCAGACTTGCTACCATAGCAAGAAGCGGAAGAGGATCACCTTACGGCAAAAACTACAGGCCTGGAGGGAAATCAGGCGCTGCTGCTTGTCCCTTGTTGCAGTGGCATGGTGCTCAAACCATGTGGCAGCCCTCACTGCTTCATGATAAAATTGCAATCTCAGGAATTACAAAAATCAAAAGCAATGCAAAAACTTCAAGGAAATAATGTAATGACCTCTTATTGCACGGTGAAACGGGAGCCAGAGGTTTACAAATTTCCTAATGTAATAAAATGTAATGAACTGTCATGAAACGTAATGTATTGCACTGAGCTGTAATGAACTGAAAATGCAATGTAAAGAAGTGTAATGAAATCACATGAAATGGAATGAAATGAGGTGAGATGAAATGTAATGATATGAAATGTAATGTGAAATGTAATGTGACACGTAATGAAATGTAATGAAATGTAAAGAAATGTAATGAAATGTAATGAAATCTAGTGAAATGTAATAAAATGTAATGAACTGTAATGAAATGCAATGGAATGTAATGGAATGTAATGTGAGATAATGTCATGTAATGTAATGTAGTTTTAATGTAAGTAACTATGTATGTTTGTATGTATGTATGTATGTATGTATGTATATATTCTCCGTACATGTGTATATATAGAAACACAAGCATTAGATTGTACCGTTCGGCTGCTCTTAAGCACGAGACATTGTTGTCGAGCTTCATGGCAAAGCTGCAAGAACTTTGCAACTTTCTGCAGTCCACGACTGCGCAATAAGTAGCCCTTTCATACACATACGACATACATGTGGCAAGAACCTCAGATTAGTCCAGGCAGAGCCTTGACGAACCTTGGCATGCTTTGCAATATCTAGTACTGCTACCCACGCCACAGAATCGAAGCAAGGCACTGGGCCGCAACTGGAAGTTTCAATCCACAGCATACCGTTGAAATACATGTCCTGTCATCTGCCGTTATGTCTTAGGATGTCCTGCAAAACAGCATTGGGACGACGGTCATAGGATGCTGTGACTGCTAATTACTTCACACCTGCGCAGATACGCGCGTGCACACACACACACATAAATAACGATATCTGATCGTTAACAGTTAACAGTCAGCGAAACACGGCGGAGAACTTGTGAAACTCGCCCGAGGCATTCCGGATTCATCTATGGCAAATGTGTCTTTGATCGGATATCAAAAGACATTGCAGTCGCTGACGATTGCCGTTGAGACACAAATCTTCGGTGACATGTGTGCTGAGGGTGACACGAAGACTCTTCTTCACGGAGATTCGTGACCTGTGGCCACTTCTGGCTTCGTGTCTTTGCTACGTCTCTTCTCACGAAAGCTCTTCTTGGGACCCGACAAGCCAACCACGTGAGCCGGGAAATTCTGCCAGGGTGCAAAGGACTGAAGCCCATGCTCGGCTGAACCGAAAAAGATGCAGTTCTGAGGCCTGTGAGAGGCGCATCAATGCAAGTAGCGGAGTCGGGGACGACTGGATCTTGGCGGTGGCCTGTCCAGCTCTCTCTTTGGCTGCTTGAAGCGCACACACGACAGTGGTGACTACATCACCGTCATCGTGAAGGCTGCAAATATTAGACCCTAAACCTTAAACCCGATGCTGCAAAATAACAATATCCTAAACAGCCCTGAACCAATCCCTAAACCCTAAACCCTAAAATCCCTAAACCCTATCCCTGAACCCTATTCCTGAAGCCCAAATCGTGGCACATGACCTGCAGGCCGATATCTTTGATCTCCCCGGCTTTCAGGATTTGGTCGGTGTCGCCCCTGAGCATAAGATATTGCATTTTGCAATATATCGTATATGATATGACATATCATGCAATACAGTATTTTATAATACAACAAAATATTACAGCATATAACGCAATATAATATAACATGATATGGTATTATAATATAGTCTAAGTAGCTATATAAAATGCAACCATATAATATAGCGCAGTATATTATAATATGATATAACGAAACAGAATGTCATGTAATATTATGGAATGTAATATGATAACATGTAGTATAATGTAACATAACATAGTACTATAACCTAAGTTTAAGTAGTGATATATACATATATACATATATATATATATAAATATATGTGATATATATATATATATATTTATTTATTTATTTATTTATCTATTTGTTTATTTATTTATTGTGTATTATATATGTGATGCTATATAAATACAAATATAAGTACAAATAGGTGTATATATATATATATATGTCATATATATATATATATATACGTATACAACATGGCGATCGCTAAAGGCGGGCACGGCAGTCGGGAGGCGCAGTTTGGACCCCCCCGTGTTGTCAACCGAAAGAAGTGATGGTAAGTCAGGAGGTTCGGTTCTCTGGCCCCTGCCCGAAAAGGAGTGGATGAACCAGACTGAAGCGATACCTGCACCGTAGCTAGCCGTTCTTATTGAGCGATATTGTAGAGCCTTGGAGCTCTCACATCGGCCAATGTCAACATCGAATCGATCTTCAAAGAACCCACACTAACATACAGGGGGTGACTGAATCTGTGCATCTGTGTCGGCCTTTGTTGGTGTCGTTTTGGTCAATTCCCGCGCTTTGCAACTCCTACTAGATTGGGTTTGAGCTAATCCATTCCACGACCGTTGCGACTGCAAGTCCAGAGCTTTTGTCATAGTTTGGAATCGTATTGATTGCTGGCAGATTCCTTGAAGAGCCGATTCAAAATAGTCCTAGTAGTTCTTGGAAAGGGACATGCTCTGAAAGTTGTTGCACATCTTGCGATGGGAACAGAAACTGGCCGGTGGCAATTGGAATGCTTGTGGGTTGCCAGCAGGATGCCATATTCATCTTGGTAGAAAACTCGACGAAAATACTAGGAACATGTAGATACGCTGCTTTTACACTCTTGTCAAACTCCGATCAAATAGCATTCAGATGCTGCTACGAGCCCGACACCAAGCCGATACACGAACTTGGAAGGCACGGCATGCTGCCTTCGGTCTCACTCCTTTTCGCAGCTCCTGTATCTCAGAAGCTCGTCTCCAGGCCCTACGACCTAGTCCGAGCCAGCTAGGAGCCAAAGCGTCACCGCCCAGCGCCGGGCAGCTTTTGATGCTTGTATGCCATGCCAGACCTCTCGCGACTGAAACATGACGATCCGACCCAAAAGCGGAGGAATGTCCACCTGGGCTTGGAGATCAGCCCGGTTGTGTTTGGCCCGGTTCCCCAACCCCTCACAACCGCATTACCTTGGACCTGCCCTTCTGCGCGTGGCTGATGGTGGTATTGCGGTGTCGTTGGCATTGCTGGTTTCGCCGTGTCTTAAACTTATTGCTCGAGTCGCAATGTCTTATTCATGTCTTGATCAGGTCTCCCTCTCTCTCTCTCTCTCTCTCTTGAACCGCTTCATCAGGCCATGCCACGAAGGTCTCGCTGTCGCAAGCTGTGGATGCGGTGGACTCGGAATGGTCTGCAGAGATGCGCAAAAGCTCCGGTACACGGCTGCCAGGTCCAGGCTGCACAGGGGTCAGGAGGCTACACACTGAAGGACCCAAGATTCTAAGAAGGACATCCCAGTATATCGTAGTTACGACGCACTGGGCACCTGATTCGACGGCTCCTTTCGAGTGGCCAGGACCCTCAGTTCACCACCATCGCCAGGCTGCCAGTCTGGGTTCAGGTAGCAAAGGATGGTGAGCATGCGTGTGTTCTCAAACCCAGCACTGCCTCCACTGTATTTGTCCTGATGCGGGACGTAGTGGGAGCCGGGGCCATAGGTTGCTGCCATGAGCGACGGGAAAAGCCGCATGGCAGGTGCATGGATACCAGCAGCCTGTGCTACGCGCTGGAGTGCACCAGGCAAGCCGGACAGTGCTTCGCCAAGCTCCAAAAGAGCAGGCGCACGGCGCTGCAGGTCCTGCCGCTCCTCCTGTGACGAGAAGCGAAGCCACAGGTGCTGAGAGCCAGGGTTGCAAGTGCTCTGCGAGAAGTCGGAAAGCTCGCCCTGGGCCGCCATGGTCTCAAGCTCGGCACGGGCACGCTTGGCCAGCTCCGGACTCACCGCATCCAGCGTCGTGAAGCCGACGCCGACGCCCAGTTGCCCGGACCCGGCCCACAGCTCTGCGACGTGCTTTTTCGTGACCACCGCGTCAGCCCAGTCATGCCGCCAGTCTGCGACAGGGATGCTCATCTCTTGGAAAGCGACGGACACGCGTGCAATCTGCAGAATCTCCATCAGGTATGCAGAGAAAATCTCGGAAAGCTTCGTGGCAAGCTCAGCTTCTCCTGCTAAAGCCCAGGTCGCGTCCAGCAGTCGATCCGGTCCCACTGCGATGCTACGGTCTCCAGAGGCGATCGCCTGGGAAGCAGCAAACAGGAGTCTGAGTCTAAAACCTGCAATGTGAGAACTGCCCTGCCTCTGCCCGCTGCTGGGCCATGGTGGTCAGCACCGCCTCCGCGTCTTCGCCGAGGGCCAGGGCCAGCAATTCGGCTTGTCGGGGAAGGCCCAGTACGTCTGCCAGGGCTTGCACAAGGCCCGGTGGTGCACAGCGGAAGCTTTGACGAAGCTCCAGCACGGGCTGTGATAACGGCGGCATCCTTAGATCCTCTGCGTGCCGAGTACCTGGCAGCCGCGTCAGGTGTCGCTCGACCGTGCCAGCACGGCGCACACTCCCAGGGTAACTTCTGGGATGCTTGCCCACAGCTGTCGTGCCGTAGCGCCATGCCAAGCGCAACGAAGTGCCGGCAAATACCGTGGCCACCGCATGCAAGCCTGAACCGTTGCAGCTTCCACGTCTTCTCGTGAGAAGGTGCGTGGCTGCTTGGCGACCAGCCACAGCTACAGACAGCAGCGGCACAAGCTGAGGAGCAGTTCTCTGTACTGCCATCGTCGCAAAGGACCACGACTACGAACTCAGGGATGCTGCTCACGAATTCTGCACGCAGCCTTGAAGCACAGAGGACATGCAGAAGAAAAGCACGGCGGTTGCTAACGGCGAGGCAGGACTTCCACTGAGCCGCGGCACGTCCCGGCACTTCTCTGGGGCCCCGTCTCCATGTCCTCAAACCCTTCCAGGAGCTTCCCGGCCACCTCGCCTGGCGGAAAGAGCAGGGAAAAGTCCCGAGGCTGCCCAAACCCAAGCCCCGGCTGAGCCTTGCGGATCTTCGGAGCTAGCATCAGCCTTCTCGTCCTTGCAGGTCACCGCTCCGGGCGCGCAGACGAGGACGAGGAAAAGGGTTTAGGGTTGAGGGGCACGCTGGTCTCGACTGAATTCGGAAAACCTCGCTTGAATTGAACACACACGCGGCTCGTGTCCCTGCGACATTTTCTGTTCCGACGGCATGCCTCCAGCATGCAAGTTCCCTCAATTGTTGAGGAAAGCACTCAAAACGGTGGATCTTGTTGTCTTTCCTGCGCTTCTTTGATTGACGAGGTCCAGAGCCAGCTCCCACCGAGTGGCCTTGATACAGGCCGTCGCTGCTGAAGCAATCATGATGTCGTCTGGGTTCACTCGGATACCGCCTGCTTCTTCAAGCAGTGCCAGCGCATGCTGCCACTGCGCTCCCCCGGCACAGGCTCCTATGGTTGCCGTGTACGCCATCGCATCCACCTGCCGGATGCCCTTCATCTGGTCCAGCAAGTCCAAAGCCTGCGGCCACTGCTCCCCTCTCTCGCAAGCACCGATGGCTGTACTGTACGTCACGAGGTCAGGAGTCAGTTGGGCTCGCAGCGAAGTAGCATACAGAGCGAGCACCTTCTGCCATTCCGCGCATGCGGCGAGTTTCGCATTGCATGCAGAGGTGGCCACACCCGCGGTTCTTACGGGAATCGCCAGGGCCTCCTGCCATCGTCCCGAAGCCGTGCATGACACGATGACGTAGTTGGTGGACAAATCATCGCCCTGCAGTCCAAGATGCTCCAGTGAGCCCAACAGCCGTAAGGCAGGTACCCAAGTCCATGCACTTGAGGCCGCCATCCCATGCCCTTGGGATGAATCTGCCTCGAGCTTGCAGGAGCCTATCGCCGCAGTGCAGGCTCGGATGTTGGTCTCCAGTGCCATTCGATCCATACGCTGGAGGAAGGCGGCAGCTTGCTCCCACTTCCCTCCTTTCTCGCATGCCCCAATAACGGTAGCAGGCGTGATCTCATCTGGCTGTAAATTCGCACGTGCAAGTAAGGCCCAAAACTCCAGAGCTGCTTGCCACGAGCAGCTGCTGCAGGAGCTGATGACCGAATTAAGAATCGTGGTGTTCAAGAGCCCCTGATCACCGAGAGCATGCACAAGGGCCAAGGAGTGGAGCCACTGCTCTCCGCACCCAATGGCACGGAGGCAGATGCTGTATGTGTGGGCATCACCCTTCAAGGAACTCCGCGACAGCGACTCGAGCAACCCAGTAGCTATCAGCCACTGTGCACTCTCCACGCCCGCATTCATGACACAGTTGTAGGCAAAAAGGTCTGCATGCAAACGACAGGACGGCATGTGATTCAGAAGTAACAAAGCCTGCTGCCACTGAGCTCCTTGAGCACAGGACTGGATGGCAGCGGTGTATGCAATCACGTCTGGCTGCAGACCTGCAGGCACAAGCTCCATCAGAACAGCCACAGCTTGCATCCATCTGCTTCCGGCACCACAGGCGGAGATGGCAGCCGTGTATGTGCGCACATCGGCTTCGATCTGTGTCCGTCGCATACATGCAAGCAGGTCGAGCGTTGCTTGCCACAGGCCCTGCTTGCCGCAGGCACTAATGGCAGAGCTGTACGTGAATTTGTCACTGCCTTGCTTGACTGCTTCGAGGTTCTGCAGGAGCGCCACTGCCTGTTGCCACTGGCTGCTCCTTTCCAGGGCGGAAGCTGCAGCATTGTAGGCGATCAGGTCGACCTGCACCGAGCTGGCTAGCGCCTCACCAAGCAGTTCCAGTGTAAACTGCCACTGTCTTCCCAGTCCACAAGTTCGCATGGCAGCCGTGTACAACATCACGTCCTTCTTCACGGCCTGAGCATGAAGGGTCGTCAGCAAAGCTAGCGACAGGGCCCACTTGGCGCTGCGACCGCACGCCTGAATAACAGCACCATACGCTTTGGAAGTTGTTCGTGCGGCAAGATTATCCAAGCGAGACAGGAGCAGCAAACCGCGCTGCCATTCTGCAACGACAGCCACTTTGGCCCCATTCTGCCTGAGGGACTCCGAGTGAAAAGAGTAGTCGGCCGACGACACCTTCGTGTACTCCGTAACTGGCACCGAAACCATGGGGGCTCCCGCATGAGCGAAAATGAGCGAAAACTGTAAGCCGATTTTGGCTCTGTGGCGGATACAAATTTCAAAAGGAGTACATCTCGTACTCCCCTGTCCGGACACAACCACCGAGTTTTAAATCTGGAAACATGAGCCGTGGCAAAGTCCTCCTTGTCGCCCTTGTCGTCTTCCTGTGAGGGTCGGGGACTTCTTCTAGCTTTCCTGGGAGGGTTTGTGGGGGCAACATGGGAGTTTCCGATAATTAGGGTACCTTATTTTGGGGTCCTTATAATAAGAATCCTATTATTTAGGGTACCATAGTAGGGCCCCCTATTTTCGGAAACCCCCACATGGCCATCTACCTACGTTTGCAGCGACTCCGCGATCTGCACCTCGTCTGTTTCTCCCACCATCCGAAACAAAGGATTTAATACAATGTGACATAATCGAATTGAAGAAAATACAACAGGATTTATCAGAATAGAATAGAATGGCATAGTGAATCCTATCTATATATGTACAAACACATGCCAAGCTCGGCACCTCTGCATGCGTCTTGTACCTCAGCAATCGTTCACGTGGCTGTCCCTGTGCTCTGTCCTTTCTTTCCTTGGCACCTTTCGGGCCAAAACCTAGTACAGCCAAAGGCTCACCCGAATTTTCATGAAGAGTTGACAATGACAAAATGTGACAAATGAAAACGCGGGAAAGGGACCCCTGACTCACTGACGCCTGAAACAGGACAACTCGCTTTGAGCTTCCAGCTCGCTGCTCTTTATGGCCAGCTCGAAGCCGTACCTGCCGGCTACTTCCCCCGGGCCGCGGAGGGTTTCAGGACGTTTGGATGCTCAGGGTTTCGGGGTTGGGGCCCTAAACCCTAAACCCTAAACCCTAAACCCCAAACCGTTTCTGGGGGTTTCGGGAAGTTCCGAAGCTTCAGGGTGCCATTCAGGACACCGTGAGCTCAAAATCGAAGCTGAAGCTAGGCCGTTCCCGAAACCCTAAACCCTAAACGCCAAACCCTGAATCATAAACATCCGTAAACTCAACCCTAAACCCCTAAATCCCTACACCCCTAAACCCCTAAACCCCTAAACCCCTAAACCCCAAGCCCTAAACCCTGAACTTTCAGAGAAAAAGCCCTCCCCGACAAGGGCACCCTGTGAGGAGGTCGGCTCCGGGGTCCTCTCCCACCGGGCCGTCTGAGTGCCTCTGGCAAGAAATCCCTTTAGGGTTTAGGGTTTAGGGTTTAAGGTTTAGGGTTTAGGGTTTAGGGTTTAGGGTTTACGGCTTAGGAGAAATCCCCTCTTTTTGAGAACTCGAGACATCTTTACGCGGGTTTCGGTCAAGGGCTCTGTAAGGCTTTAGGTTCTTTAAAGGGTTCCATAGATTTTTCGGGCTAAGGCTCAAAGCCTTGACAGATTTGGCCTTCCCACTTGCGTTCCTCGATTGATGCTGGGCTCATCTCATCCTCCGCCAAGCGAAGCGATAGAAGCCGAAACGTGACCGGGGAGGACATCCCAAGAGCTTCGGGAAGCTTCTCGGGTGTTCTCGGCTTTCCGATTTCCAGATGCTGCTCGAGCGGCCTAAAGATGACCTGCCATGTCGAGGTTGCTGGCAGTTGCGCGACCTGCGCTCAGCGGGCACACATCAAGTTCCTCAGCCGAACGGTCTCCTATCAAGACGAGGGTCTTGTTTCAACGCATTGCACTGACGGAATCGTTCTTCGTAAGCACCGACACATGACCTAGAGGACTCGGCCTCACTAGCTCGCCTTGCACAGATTGAGCTCTTTTTCGGACGGCAGCTCATCCCCCCATAGCTCAGCCAGCTCACCCCGGATGGCGGCAAGCAGAGAAACGCAACCTAGGCACCAAAAGAACTTCAGGATTCGTCTTGCGCCATGGAGTTGCAAACATGCCTTCTGCCGCATTGGGCCCCGCGTCGCTGAGGCCGCGGGCCCAGCATCGCAGGCACCAGGAGGGCCAAGGCCTAACCAAAGAGACGTAGGTTTGGGTCAGCTCTGAAAGCCTTTCACTCGAGAACATGAAGAAATACATCTCCCGACACCCCCTGAAGGGTTCCTCTCTGGGCTTCCTGCTGGCAGGCCCGGCAGATTGAAGCCATACACGGAAGCCTCGCAGCCGGCCGACCTCTGACATCCCGGGACTTCGGGGTGGTAAGGGTTGCAGTGTGGGTGTTGGGCTTACGGTTTAAGACTTGCAGCTTGGGGGTTTGAGAGACGCAGGATAGTAGAGAGTGATCAGTACCCGGGGTTGGCAGCTAACGACTTGGGCTGATACGCAGCGCAGGATGCAGTCTCTCTAGTGCCAGTGCCGACGACAGGAGCCCTAGGAATCTTGGCAGGGCTTGCCCAGTGAGGCAAGCGGCCCCAGCACGTAGCCCAGGAGCGCAGCCATGAAATACCCGGGCCTGGCATTCTTGCGGTCTCATCTTCAGTTGCAGAACGCTCAGGGCCATGCCGCCTGCTTCCGGACTCACTTTGAAGATCTCGGCGCAGTGCCTTTGCTGATACTTCGGACCAGAAAGGTGCCGGGTTGAGGGAAGACCACGTGCAGATGCCTCTGAGCCCGTCGCCCAGCCTGCAAGCACCGCTGGAAAGACGACGTCGCCAAGGCCCAAGACATCCTCCAAACTTCGTAGAGGATCAACCCCGAAAGCAGAGGGCCGTGCAGCTGAGTGCCGGTCGCTGGGGCGGCTGCCTAAGACCACCTCGGCTTCTTACAGCACATCTTCGTCTAGTTTGGCTTCCTGTAGTATATGAGTAGACAAACTGGTGAATATTCTGGTAGATAGTAAAACATATGTTGAGGTTTTACGAAATTAAGTCTTGCAGTACAGGTTCGAATATCAAATGACTGTATACATTTTCGTGTACAGTCTTGTGTAAGGGCGTATGCTATAGCATAACACACTGTAGCACATCGTATCAGTTATTGTAATACTGCTGATATAATCATCGCATATTTCGTAAAGTGTCACTTTGTAGTTCTCTAAATTAGGGCCACCTTTAGGGTTTAGGGTTTAGGGTGCTGTGCTATTTGGGGGACCTGAAACCGGACCCGAACTACCCGCATAGAACCCTAGCAGTACCCATATAGAAACCCTGTAGAAACCCTTATGGATCCCTGCAAGAAACACCATAAGGGACCGACATGGGAGTTTACGAAAATTGGGGCTACCCCTATTTGGGGGTCCTTATAATAAGGATCCTTTTATTTAGAGTACTATATATTAGGGTCCCCCATTTTCGGAAAACCCCACATAGCTACACAGTCCGATGTTTGCCTTCCCACATCGAGGGCCCGGCCTCCAGAAGGCCAGGCCTCTCAAAAGCAAAAGCAGCCCAGAAATTAGGGATCAGGGTTTCGGGTTTAGGGCTTTGGGGCTTCGGGTTTGGGGTTCAGGGTTTAGTGCTTTGGGGCTTCGGGTTTAGGGTTCAGGGTTTAGGGCCAGTTCCGGGATTAGGGGTGCCTGCCTCAAGCTCCCTTGCTCCCACTTTTCCTCCGCGCTCGGAACTTGAAAGTCTTTCTCAGAAAACCTCCTCCACCATCTCGTCCTTACCTTCCGACTGAGTGGTGGCCGACTCCCGCCTTTGGCGGAAAGAGGCAGAACCGAGCCCGAAACTCAAGCCGTAGCTGTTCGTGAAGCAGTTAGCAAACTCGTCTTTCTCATCATCCCGGTCCTGAGTTGCCAGTGGGTTCTGTGCTCTAAGACAGACGACCTCGGCCCGAAAATCCCGCAGCTCTAGAAGGGGTTTGGACATGCGTGTCTTGGTGTGCGAATTGTCTTCCCGCCACTCCGCCACTGTTCCGTGCTTTTCCGCCTTCCGAAATCGTGCTCCCGTCACAGCGCCTTCGTGCATCTACCTCTGCCGGCAGGGTTTGGAGAAGGGGCAATGCTGACACCTCAGATAAATATATAGAAGGAATATACGCATGTATATGGGGCATGCATGTGTGTGTATATATATATATATGTATTGTGACATAGTCCGTGCTACCGGCTTTGCAGACTTGCAATGTGACCAAATGCCGGGCTGGGGTTCCCAACAACTGTGTTTCGATTAGCCCTCCACAAGTACATATATTTATATACATATATACATGCATATTGTTTATATATGTATATGGCATTATGCACTGTATATTTTCTAATATTGAATCATATATTCCATGTTACATACATATTTTATATTGCTAATGTTGTATCATACTTTATATTGATTAGTATCTTATATTATACTATATTGTGTTATATATATATATACACACAAACAAATATTTACATATATATATATATATATGGGCATCCCTGCCCGGGGTCCTTCTCAAAGAGGATGGAGGCACAGCGCGCAGCGAGGGGCTGAGAGTCCCCGTCTTGCAGCCGCTGCGCAATCTGCGCGACGCGTAGGTCCAGCTCCAGTGCCGAGGACGAGTGAGGGGTGAACAAGAGCGCCACTTCCTGGAAAACTGCTTTTATGATCCGGAAGTAGGAAGCCGTGTCGCCATTTTCGATGCCAGTGCTCGCGATCTCCCGAAAGGAGGACAAAGATGGAAACTGGAAGTCGTCTGTAACAAGAATTGGCAGAACCGCGCAGAAAGTCAAATAACTTGCCTGCGTCAGCCACTCGGCGATCTGCTTGGAAGCAAGGCCGCCATCACTGCAAATGAGGACTGCACAGACCGAATCAACTGGAATTGGCTCAGTCCTTGTTAGAACTGCAAGCTTGAGACTTGAGGAGCCTATTAGAAGCGGGGCCAGCAGGTCGTACAAGACCAAGGCCGTCGCGACAGCTTCCATGTCATCGGGGTCCGCGAGGATCACTCCATCCACGTCCTGGTCCTTGGAGCCCTGACAAATGCTGGCGCCTGCGGTTTGGGTAAGGCTTGCCACGACCTCATCGATGCCCTCGGCACTGACCGCATTCAGTTCCAGCGTTTCGAGTGTCCAGAGCCACTTCAACGTATCGTTAACCTCTGGAAGCCCGATTCCCAAGCTGGACAACTCTCTGATGTCACCCACGGCATTAGCGTAGTGCCTTCTGAAGGACTCGTCGGGCATGGAGAAACCTGGAAGTGTGATGAGCAGGCTTGGTACACTTTGCTGCCTTGCTGTCACCATTTCACCAACACACCACCTCGGGTGTCGCTGAGGTACCAAAGCACATGTTCGATTCTATCTCCTACTGTGTTCCAATGTTCAACAGGTGTGTTTTGCAAGAACGACCGAGTCACTTCCGCGATAAAACTGCAGGGCTTCCGAGAATGACCACTTTCTCCACATCGTGAGCGACATGATTGAAGAGCTTCGAGAGGTCCTTGAGGTCGTCTGAATCAATGAAGGTCTTGAACTTCGATGCACGATGCTGAAGCTCAATCTTAAGCAGGCGAGCCAAGCTGCCTGCCGCCTGCTTGTGATGGCAGAGAAAGAATGAGTAGCGCTTGTGTGTCTTTGCAATGAGGTGCCTCACAAGGCCATACAAACTCACGAGCAAAAGCAACATGGCGACAAGCACGGCAATCACAACGCATGCCAGCATGGAGCTGTAGCTGTCTGCAGAAGGGACGAAAAGGGCGCCGATGTCCAGGATGGTGAGCGCCCCCCCATGCATCAAGAGGTCCAGGTGGGTGCTCAAACGAACACGCCACGGCTTTACATAAGCAGAGCAACACAAGCTGAGGTAAAGGATAAAGTTCATGCTCAGCATCCGCGCCGTCTCCGAGGGCAGTAAAGGGCAAAGGACGATCATCAAGTTGCGGAACAAGAAGACAACCGCAAAACCTTGAGCTCCGGGTCGAAAACGCATAGCCAAGAACGACCAGGCTCGTACAAAGTTGGCATCCGCAGCCCTCACCTTCCGAGGGAATTCGATGACAATCACCCAGGCACACATCGACAAGAAGGATAAGGGTGCCAAAAGGGCAAATGCCCCGTACAAGCACATCTGCAGATGAATTCCTTGCCCGTCACAGAAAACATCGGGGTAGTCATCGATGGTGTACAGGCCATTCGGATGCCCCTTGCATCGAAAAGGTCGGAGCAGCAGCGAACACGTAGCAATAAAAAAAAGCACTGCCAGAAATCCCAGGGAACGTCCAAACAGGCGAAGGGGTACCTCCTTGCCGCCTGACCTTCGCACTTTGCTGTACACGACATGGGTCACGGCCAACACTACAACCAGGCAACACGGGATGGCAAACGACTGTATGACGAAAAGTGATAGCGTGGGAACCTCCGCAAAGCATTTGATGGAGCTGAGGGAACTAAGCAGCACATCGAAGGCAACAACGTCCAGCAGCTTCAGCAATGTCAGGAAGGGCTCGCCCCACTTCACCCCGAACTGCCTGATGACGAGCAACAGCTGTGCAAAGGTTACGACTTGACCCATGCCTATTCCGGCAAGGACCAGCGGACGCGACTGACTTCTGTTGCCGGCCCAGATCATCACTAAATGCCATGTGACAGCAAGCACAAGCAGCATCACTCCAATACACGCCGCCACGATGTAGTCATTGCTGAAGCAAGCCACACACTCACCACGGATATCATCCTCGCGCCAACCCGGCAAACAGCTGGCGCAAGCAATGCTTTGGTTGTCGCGGCCTCTGGCAATTTCGGGTTTCGGCTTCAGAAGCATCATGCCAGCCGTTAGCACCTATTCACTTCAACCTCATGACCCACATGCCGGCAGCCATGCTGGTCCTGACATCGTCAACACTGATTCCCCGGTTACGCAGACATCCCGGAACCGGACATCCCACCCCGAACACCTGAAACAAAGCCCGAAGACCTGAAGCCTCGCTCTCAGAGCGCCTCTGGCACAGGAGCCCGGTGAGCCACCGGGGCAGCGCTCGGGGAGTTTGTGACACTCCTGGGCGGCGTGGAAAGCTGCACACAGGCATTCCCGTCTGCTGCAGTGGGTCCGAATATTAAGCAGCAGTCGATATCCGATAGCCCCGCGAAGTCTTCAGAGCGTGGCTGGCCGGCCGATGCAACGCAACAACTACAGGACGAACACTACGCAAGACGCTTAAAGCCTCCGGCAGCCATACAGCTCAACCCAGCCTAGACCTCAATATCCCTGAAACTCTTCGCCAAGGCTCGAAGACTGCACCCGGGCTCTCGTTCGACGCATAGAAGCCCGGGCGCAGCTCGAGCTGCCCGGAGCCAGGGCATATGGAGCCCATCGGACAGTCCTCACAGGGGTTCGGGTTAGGGGATAAAAAGATTGTGGGGTTGGGTTCGAGGGTCATTATTTATATTGGGGTTCAGGATTTGTGGGTAATGGAGTTTGTGGTCACAGTCGCAGGAAACAGGGCCGTGTTGGGGCGTTGAAACCTGGCTGTGAATAGCAGGCTTGGTGATTCGTTGCCACAAGCGCAACCGCAACCCTTCGCCCGAAATCGGACCTTTGCAACAACCGAAAGAATCCTTCTCGGAACTCATTCTCCGATGCGAGCTCCAGAGTAAAAAAACTCGAACCCTGAAACGCCCAGAGTTGACGGTAGCTCTAAACCAGGCGTCCTGGCACCGGCCGTCGCTAAGGTAAGTCCCGGCGATGCAGCGGCAAAGGCGCTCAGAGGGTGCCCCACGCACGGCAACCCACTTCGAGCCGCTGGAGGTGTTCAGGCACTCGCTGGTGGTCCACCTCTCGTCTCCACAATCTGTGCACTCCGTGAGGCCGCTTCTGTCAGCGAAGGAGCCCGGGGCGCAAAACTCGCATTCCGTGGAGCCGTTGACGCCGGAAATCTTGCCGGCCTCACAAGCCACACACGCTGTCTCACCTGCCAGCGGCTGATAACGGCCGCTTTCACAAAAGACACAGCGGCGTGTGCTTCCGCTGCTGTCATCGAAGGCCTCAGAAAATGTCCCTGCGGGGCACATCTTGCACTCCGCTGCACTCGTGCGGGACGACAGGAACAGGCCTTCTCTGTCGACAACTCCAGCACCTGCATTGCATTGGGTGCGTAGAGGGACGACTTGGCGCCAGCTGGTGTCCCTTCGTAGCCAATTGCATGCGACCTCGTAGGTGCTGTTTCCAGCCTGCATCTGGCCAATAGCTTCTTGGACATCATCTCGGTCAAAGGTCAAGTCGCTTAGCATCGCATGCATCAGCGGACTCTTCTGTTCTAGATCGGCGCTGACCATTTTCAGGATCTGGGTGGATGCAGGTGCGGTCCTTCGGTTCCCTGCCTCCCACTCTGCCGCACTGAAGCGGGGGAAGAGGATGGCCGTTGGGTTCATGGAAACAAATGTCCCATCAGGTAGCCACCAATAGAAGAGCACCTTTAGGGTCTCAACATAGTACACGTACCTGTCGAAGTCATCGACGATGCCGATGGCAACAGGGAGAGCATATGCAGCCGAGCGATGCATAAAGGATGGGAGCAGCCAGCCATAGCTGCCACTCGTCAGGAGCGGAATGCATTGGGAGATATCGTGCCTGCAAGCTGGGGACGGCCACCAGTGGTTGCCGTGACATTCTGCCACGTAGTTCGGGCCTTCATCTCCAGGAACCTCCTGGACCCCGGCAGTGTCACCAGACCATTTCACATACTCAGCAAGCCTTCCATGGTGCACCCAGTTCGTCCCGGCCGTGTCGCATGCAACCAAATCGGGCAAGAGCACATCTTCGATACTGTCGAACAGGGCACGCACGGCGCTGGCGTGGGAGAGGCTCGCGTTGTATGTACGGTGGTAGTCTAGGGTCAACCCTGCAGATTGATAGGCAAAATCTTGGACCTCACGCTTCACGAAGAGGTACTCCTCACCCACGAAGCCAATCCCTCCAAGACTTACCGGGGAGTACTGTGGGAACAGCCTCTCGAGAGTGGCAGGTGCATCTTGCAAGGCCGAGGTGTAGAGGTCCAGTGCCACATGGATCCTCGTCTCCTCGCCGCAGCCCTCCAGGCTGGCTTCTCCCAGATTAAAGTCGCGACAGCCCACCAAAGCATAGAGGGCCGTCCAAGACCCGGAAGCTCTCACCGAATGGACGTAAGTGCGATACCCCAAGACTTCTGCGGTTACAATTTGAGCAAACTGTGTCACCAGCTGCGCCGAAGACCAGTCGGCTTCCACAAATCCAACCGGGAGGTCAGCCCCTCGACTGTCTTGCAAGAAATATCTATCTGCTTCGGGAATACCATCTTCCAGGCACAGACCGCCTGAACGTATCAGAAAGCTGGCTACGAGCAGAATCACCGACCATGGGCGAAATGCCTTGGGCATTCACTGGCCGTCTGAGAGATTTCTCAGCACACGCATTGCAAAAAGAGAGCATCCATGCACTCGAGCCAACACGGCTCTGGAAGCGGGAGTTCAACTGCGTCTGCTGCGTCGATTTTCAACCTCGCCCTGGTCATCGGTCCCACCTCCAGGTCGGAAGCAGGTTTCCCGAAGTCCCAAGCTTTGACAGCGCCACCTGCACAAGGGGCTCCAGCGGGGATTGGCACAAGGCGTTCGGACTCACAGCCAAGAAGGCCCTTCCTGATATGCGGACGCAGCAATGCAAAGCTGGAAAGCTTGCAAAGTCTGAAACCACAAAAACGAGATCTCCCGCAGCTTACCACACCAACCTTGGCCATAGCAGAAGAAGAAACATTGCCAGGGCCTCACATGACGCCATCCACATCGAGAGGTTTGGCTTAAGGCTTCATTTAACCTGTGCTTGTGGCATCTACAGACAGATGATTGGTGGCGGGCCTGACTGAACCCCAACCAGAAGCCACCAAACCGCTAAACCCTAAACTTTACCAAATCCTAAGCTCTAAGGCATCAACTTTGGCAAACCCTTAACCCCGAAACCGCCAAACCCCGAAACCCTAAAGTTTAAACACTTTACTTATCCCCAAAGTAAACCCATTATTGCTTTTGCCCTGGACTGTACTGAACCCTAAAGCTCTCCGCCGGTACCTGCTCCAAGGAGCTGGGCGGCAAGAAGGGGCCCCAAGGTACTCAGCACGTCGTACCTTTTGCGGGATTTTGGGGGGTCTTAGGGTTTCGGCCTTGGGGTTTGAAACAGTAAGGCTGATTGCGGAAACACGTTGGCGACGGCTCAAAGAATGAGTGTTGCCCAACTTTTGGGGCTTCTCCTTCAGGGCTCTAGCAGTAATTGGTGGGGTCTTGGCTGTCCTGCTCACTGCTCGGGCTCGGTCCTGGTCATTTCCTTGGCTGTTTCCTCTGGAATTTGCCTTGGTTTTCTCCTGGCCCTTTGGTTCTTCCGAGCTACCCTGTTCGTGCCCTCGGCCCAGGCCCCTTTTCATCCTACTCATCGCCCTGCGTCTCCTGACCGTGTGGCTCGGCCTAGATCTTTGAGGTTGAGAGGCTACTTGCATGAGTAGGGGCAACCTGCTCGCTACAATCCGTGGTGCCGTCGACTCCCTTCGGGAGGCGCTTCAGGAGCTTGAGGAAAG